ATCTCAGCTCATAATCTTGCAAAAAAAACTTCAAATTGTCTATCCAATCTTAATTTGCATGCTTTAAACTTTATGTTAGCGATGGTCTGACATAAAACAAGCCTGGTTCAAATCTATTTTCTGTATATACCATATTTTACTCGTAGAGGAAAAAAATGCTTTATCACCGCTCATTGCCAAAGAAGACTGAGGAAGATTTTGGAAATCACGTGGGTTGTATAACGGAATGGCTGCTACCAGTTTACGCGGTCAAATGTGTAAAAATACGCAACGCTTCTCCAAAACTGCGATGGCCCATACCTCCCGGGGGCCCATACCTCCCGGGTCTCCCCTACACCTCAGCTTATGACATGCAAACCTGAAACCACAGTGAACCTATTATGCAGGGCTGCGGAGTCGATGGATTTTCGGCGACTCCGACTCCGACTCCGACTCCGGCTTTCAAAAACCAGCTCCGACTCCGACTCCGGCTTTCAAAAACCAGCTCCGACTCCGACTCCGGGCAGAATTGTCGACTCCGACCGACTCCAACTCCCGACTCCGACTCCGCAGACCTAGCAGGGCTGCGGAGTCGACAGATTTTCGGGGACTCCTACTCCGACTCCGGCTCGGGTTTCTAAAATCGACTCCGACTCCGACTCCGACTCCGGTCATAACTGTCGACTCCGACCGACTCCGACTCCGACTCCGACTCCGCAGCCCTGCTTATGAAATGTGTTTCAACTTCTTTTGTGAACATACATGTAGGTATATGCCTAATAATTATTCTGCATACCTAAATGTCAAAATTTACGCCGCCTTTCCTCATTTTCAGCAGCGTATGTATTTTATCACTGGCTAGTTTTACCTTAGGAGTTTGGAATGAGCAAAATTATGATCAACAAGACCCAAGCAAAGCACCTCAATATGGGCTCGATAGCATGCATTTTGTGGTCAATAAACAGTGGCATTCAATGCCGCCTTTCTTCCGGCGGCCATCTTTGTTTTGTGACGGGTGCCGCGCTGCGGTCTGGGGCCGAATTAATCACCTGCCGTCTGACAATGTTTAGCAAATTCTTGTTAAATGATGGCGCCGCCGGCCGTAATGCCGACGGCGTAAACAGAGCTCCGGTGGGACCACCCAATTTCGGCGGCCGACAGATGGCCCGCGGCGCCGTAAACGCGCCGCCGATACCGCCGCCGAGCGGGCCGGCCGACCGGGCGGGCCGCGCGCGGAGGCGGCGGTGGCCGGCAGCGACTGAACGCGAGACAAGGAGCCGGCAGGTCTGCCTCGTAGAGCTTTGGACTGCGAAGCGTGCAGGTGGCTAGTCAGCGCTTAGAACTGTCGTATATTTACAAAGTAGGTAGCAGACAAATGGAGTAAATCAAATGGTAACCAAGTGCGACGAACTCATCTGAGCATAACTTTGGTGAATAAGATTGATAGGCATCTTTGACATCTATTTTCACCCTCTTTGTTCCAGGTTTTCCGGCACATACCTTCATATGCCTCTCCCGTCCCTTGATCTTCTGATACGCACCATACCCAGATAACTGCAGTCTGTCGGCAGTTTTCCGTCCATTTTTTATCTGCAATGATCGGTTTTGTTTAAAGTTCTCCCGAAGAAGCGTTGCTGTGTGTCAGTTTACAGCCTGTTCATGTCACAACATTTTTCGGGTCCATTTTTCGTTTTCCCTGATCCATTCCGTATTGACTTGGGAAGTTCGAGTAAACGAGTCGGCCGGCTGGGCTGGCTCTTTGTTTACCATCACCTGGCCGTTTACATCTGGGTTGCCTCCGATGGCTGACTAAATAAGAGAGTTTTATGGGCAATCAGCACATCCTGCGAATTCCGGAACCGCCGCACCTCAGGCCAACCGACACATAAATGGCGTCAGACTAAACGCTGACAAACACTCCGAGCGGCCGCTGCCGACTGCGGGCCGCCGCGCCGGACTGCGCCGCTCTCGTCGACAGCGCGCTGATTATTGTTTCACAAAACATCGGCCGTTAGCCGGTGACGGGGCGCGGGTGGGCGGCGCGGCTCAGAGCCGGAGCGGCTCCCCCGGCGCCGCTCCGTCAGCGCCACTTGCAACCGTAGAGCATGTTTGGACGGCCGGTAAACTGTGTACGCCGATGGTAAACTCGGCCGCACTCATAAAGTTGCCACGGCCGGCGGCGGCAGCGGCGACTGGCGACGACTCGGCCCGGCAGCTGCTGATCCCAGCGGGGACCATTGGGCCACCGACGGCCGCTGATCCCAGCGGGTACCATTGGGTCACCGACGGCCGCTGATCCCAGCGGGGAGCATTGGGCCACCGACGGCCGCTGAACCCAGCGGGGACAATTGACACTGACGATAGCCACTCTACACCAGACTTGTAAACGACTCTGAGTTGATTCGTGAATCGACTCAGAATCAAACCGTTTTTCGATGAGTCATGAGTTGATTCGAATCACTTCATCGAGGAACTTGATGAGTCATGAGTTGATTCGAATCAATTAAATTTAACATCATGAGTCATTTGATGAATCGATTCAAATTTTCAGACTCAAACAAAGAATCGACTCAAAAAAATTTGAGTCGTTTACAAGTCACCATCAACACCCTAATAATCAATGCTAGATCACCCCCTCAGCTTTAGCCATCACTTAACTCCATATTTCAGACTTACAAGAGCCTCAGAGGCTCAGGCACAGGCGCCTAATGAGCCAAAAGCATTTGGCAGTTGGTAGGTACTTAGTCTTACCAAACCAAGTGCCTGCTACACTACCTAGGTACCTACATTTTACATGTCAGAAGTCAGAATTGACACCTGCGGCTGCCTCCCCTTCTCCCAGTCCCAATTTGGTCCCAATAATCAATCAACAGCATAAGAGTTTGGGCGTCTATAGAGTAAAATACGCCCAAACTACCTATAGCCTATAAACTACCTATAGGCTATGCTATAATATAAATAAACTCACCTATAAACCGCAAAATTGCGATGCTCAACTGCCAATAAACCACAAAATACACATTTTTCCATGAAATAGAAGTTTAAAAAGAAACTTGTTTTATGACATCATAGAATCTTCAAAATAATGTAAAGGAGCGGCTTTGAAATATTTCCTCAGTGATCTCCATTCGCCTAAAATATGTACTATGAGTGACGTCATGAATTCGAGAATAGAATGTGAAAGTCATAGTATGTTTTAAGAAAACTACATTAATGGCGCAGTTGATAACTTTTACGTCTGAATCTCGATAAATATGAAGTCAACGAGTAATTTTGTTGAAAAAAAAACGCTTCCCTCACTTCGAAACTGGGGGTGCAGAGCCAACTTAAAGCAAAAATTGGTGGATAATGGTAAACAAAAAATTAAATAACGTAAATTTGGCCTCTTTCGAAAAAAAAACGTAGACCAAATCCGAGGACTTTTCATATTTTTAAGTGGAATATTCATTTTTGAATTCACTATGAGCCACATCCTGGACAAGGCTTGAGCACCTCCAAGTTAAAAAGAGCATCCCCAATTTTGAAATAGTTCCTACATCCCTGCGCATGAAATCAAACCATCATATATCGTGCGTGATCTCAACATCCTTTCGCCACTTATATTTTAGTAGTGCATTCTCCTAAGACCCAAAGCCCAAAGGCGCCTTGGTGACAAATCATGGCGCGTGCGCGATAAAGCAAGCATGGGATCCTAATTCTTTATACTTGACAAATTGGCCGGATGACGTTGCCCGAATTGCACCAATGACAATTTATTTTTACCAAAAGAGCCACTTGGTCAGTGCTCCGGTGCTCCTGATATCGATTAATATTCAATGACGTCATTTTTAATCTAAAATTGTAGACTAACAATATTTTTTTTATATTCCTTCATTTTAATCTCCACGTTGAGCCAACATAAATGGTAAGTGACAGATGGGCTCTATCTAGCTGGCAGCCAGTTGGCGCTGCTAAACTAGGTGCCGTTTGGAGAATGTATATTGTATACCTACATTAACTACTTTCAATGAGTCTCAACTCAAGATCATATCTGATTCTGAGGCCTGAGCCACTCATGCAAGGTCATGGCCTCCTCGTGGCCCATGGAGTCCCTGCTGATGCTGAATGTTTCACAGATGGGATTAATCCTATTTTTGAGGTTGTACTGTTTGAATAATTTTATCTAATAAGTAAGAAGTAGTAACATTTGTCTCATTATCATGTAGAAAAGGTTTGATTAAAAAAAAAAACATGAATGCCTCTCGGAACTTGTGCTTTTGAATTTTCAAATAAGACTTTCTAGGTAATAATAAGAGATAGGTTACTATGCTACTCCTTAGTCCTTACTTGTATTATAATTGTCTCTCAGAGTTACTTACAAATTTATCTGACATTGCACTGTTGACCGTTGAGTGTTGAAGATAGGTATGTGTAAGGTAGGTACTTATGTACCTAGTCCTACTAGGTAGCTGCTTGAATCTTTGGTCAAGGCTACTATGCTGCTTAATACAATTGTGGTATGCGGCATATTCATTTTATCATAGCTTTGAGTCAAATAATCAACAAATGCCTATAGTGAGTCATGGGTTGAATGAAATAAGTTCAATAAAAATGTCGTGTGAGTCATGAGTTGATTTGAATCGATTCATCAAAATGTGTGAGTCATGAGTTGATTCGAATCATTCCGTTGGCTAGTTGCTCGAGTCATGAGTTGATTCGAATCATTTCATCGAGGAACTTGATGAGTCATGAGTTGATTCGAATCAATTAAATTTAACATCATGAGTCGTTTGATGAATCGATTCAAATTTCCAGACTCAAACAAAGAATCGACTCAAAAAAAATTGAGTCGTTTACAAGTCTGCTCTACACTGTAAAAAAAGATTAGCACTTAACAACCTATACGGGTGATGCAGACCGTCTTTCCAGGTGCTAAACATTGAAAGTGCTTGATAAACTCCACGTTTTTGATGAAGCATGCCGAAATCAGCTAACTTGGTGCTTGTCAAGTGCTTGTTAGTCGGAATCTGCCTGTTTCTGCGGAAGCGTGCAAGTGTGCGGTGGGATTTGTGCGGGATTCGATTAGGAGTTGAGTGCATTTGTCTTCAGCTAAAGTGGAGGTAAGTTTTCTTTTTTTAAGACCTGAAGTGTATATCATATTTAAAACGTTTTAGTGCATGTTACTGTTGAGAATTGAAGGCTGAATTCATCCAGCAGGATCTTGACGGGCCTCACGCGCTCTGTGATGGTGAAAGCTCAGAGATAGACGACTGGATATTGCTATTTTGGTTGTCTTATTGATTATATGTATGCTGTTTTTATAATCCATTGGTGAATTGGTGGTGGTGTTGTCTTTTTTCATGAGTTCTATCAACGTGCCCATTATTTGAGACACCAATCAGTTCACTATTAGCCATGGTTCTGTTCCCGTGGTTGATCCAGCCCCCTTAACCCGCGCCCCGTAGGGCTATCGGCGGACCCTACCACCCGTAGGGGAGGGGCCGTTTCGGCCCCCCCTAAGATCTCGGAAATTTACCGGCCGATTTTCAAAATTCAAACGGTGTTCGATAGCCCCACCGGGGAACTACCTTGTGACAACATTTCATTGACCTAGGTCAAACCGATGACGTCACAGGTCAGGTCAAAGGTCGGATTTTCACCGTTCACAGGCATTTCAAGAAATGTGTTGTGAAATCGAGTAAATTGGTAATTTATTGAAAACCATCGATGGTACATTGTTCGTCAAACACATACTTTGCTATCTGAGGTCACTGATACCAGGTCAGGTCACAGCGAGGTCAGGTCACCGGGGGTCACAATATGAAAGTGTGGTGTGATACATGTTTTATGGTCCATTTTACATGACAAATGCGATTATGTGGGTTAGGCAGCCTTTGCGGCCAGCCTGGGTCACATTTTGGTGAAGGTCAGGTCAAGGTCAGGTCAAGTTAGGTCAAATTTCGAAGTTGATATTTTTGCATAAAATGGGTATCAATTCGATGCAGCTCGTCTCGGGGAGTCTAATGGTGGTCTTTGTTCTGCTCTACGAGGTCTAGAATTGCCAAAAATTGAGTTTGAAAATTTGACGTCATCATTTTTGAACAGTTTTTTCGCTATAACTTGGCCAAAAAACGAGGTATCGATATGAAATTTGGTATGTAGATAGAAGACGGTAGGTACTATCACGTATATTCCGGTTTTTTTCGAAACTCAAAAAACTTTTTTGATTTTCCGGCTAATATATCCAAAAATGCTTTTTTTGATTTTGGGGGGTCAAAACTCATAAATCTGAAAAATCCGAGATAGCAGTTTTGTAGCCCTGTAAATTCTACACCTTTTTTGTCTTGATCATTTTTCTGTATCTTTAAAGCTGTAGACCTGACAGGTCTTCTCGCGAAGGTCTTTTTTCGGTCGAAAATGACAGAACATGACGTCATTCTGATGTCATTTGTGGCCGACCTATCATAGCCTCTGGAAAAATTTTTGGTCACAATGTGTAAAATTGATGCCCGGAGAGGTTCTGAAAGTTTGGTGGCAATATCTCCAGCCGTTTAGGAGATATCGACGGAAAAGGACAGGGAGGGGCCGTTTCGGCCCCCCCCCCTACGGGGCGCGGGTTAAAGCCACATATACTTGCTGTAATGTGCATTCAACTGATCATGCGTGTCTTCATGAATGTTCTCAGATTCACCTGAAAGTGAATCGGATGGGATTCATACCAGCGAAGCTTATCGGGGCCATTCATCCCAACTGAAGGAAGACACGGGCAGGTGATTGGACTGCTCCAATAGAGGTAGGTACTGTGGATCTTAGTTTAATGATACAAATTCATTTATTTATTTTTGAAGGCAAGAAGCATTTGAAAGCTCGTTTAAAAATATTTCAGGAATTACTATGATCATTTTAATGTATGGGAAGTTCATGTTACCATAGGTCAAGTTGATGTCAATTTCATAAATTTTGGAAACGGATATATCCTTGCCGATACCAACCAAAACAACTGAGAGTATACCGAACTGAACCAATTTTGGAAAATACGGAAATATTGGTTGGAAACGGAACTCAGGAAATTCTCAAACATACTCTTAAAAAGCTTCTCGAACATATGTTATGGTTACATATGGTGTTTTTTTTAATTCCTGATTCCCTTGATTACTTTTGTTCACAATTCACCATTTCAAAATGTAAAAATAACAAAACAGAAGCAGTGTGTAATAACACTTAAAGTGGCCATCCCATCCCACCTTAACATTAGATTTGAGTTGAAGTTGAGATAGCCAAATTGGGGTCCCTGGCCCCAATTGTAAAATCGCCCGATTGTAAAATCGCCGGTTTCAGCACTCGCAACATCTATAAATGCTTTAAATCGAAATTATTTAATTTCAAAGTTCTAGACCTCGATTCAGAGGGACTAGTGCATTTGAATGCCCCCCTTTGGTCAGGTCCATTCATTGACCTTTGATGACCTTGGTACACTTTTTCGGGTTTTTAATGTTTCTAGGCTAGTTTTTTTTAGCCGATTTCGAATTAAGCAACCATTTGAACAATTGCGAAGTAGTTTTGGTGCCTTTGTAACATGTTACGATGCTGTCAGTGGTGGAGGACACCTACAATGAATACCCGGTAGTACCCCTACTGGTTGACCTGACCTGACCCGACCCGGCGTAAATGCATAAAGACATCATCTAATCACAACTAACATGAAATTCGTGGTCAGCAACCCGAAAAAATATAACAGCCTCGCTTTAGGAGGTTCTGACGGGTCCCGATTTTCCTGACTTGGGTCTTTGACCTGGAAGGTCAACCAATAACCTAGGACCTTAAAATTAGGTACCATCGACTGTCTCTCGTCACGGACAACACGCTCGTTTTTTCGCGAAGCTCTAGCCTGATCAGGGCCCGAACGGCAGGGGGCGTCTAACCGACCCCCCACCCAAGTTAAACGCTGGAAAACGCCGCACACAGGGGAGGGTTAATGGTGATCAAGTATTGAAAATGCTGCGTACAAATCATACCAAAACCCAATTATAAATGAGGAATGTTTGTGTTAAGTGTAAACATTGTTACCGATCCTCATAAATTGCAGGAAGCATATAATAGAGCATTGCAAAAGGATATACATACATAGATTCACACAATGCAAATGGAACAGGGTATTACACTTAGACAAGATGACAGATTTGTGGTAGGTAGGTAATTTTAAAGTGATAATGCTATTTTAATATTGGATGATAATGGTCAATCCAGTGTTGTTCGGCAGAATGTTTCGGATAATGATGGCAACAAGTTGCCCCCCCCCCCCCCCCCCCAGCGGCTGGCGGGTGGCGCGGAGGCCCAGCGTCCGCCGGGTTAAAAACGTCAAATTTTGAGTTTTCGCCCTTTGGAGGCTAAATCGTCGACCTTAGGTCAAATCTGAGAACATAATCGGATATAATTTTGAATGAGCTATCGAATGCGCTTTTCTGTGGCGCGCTTTAACTCTAATCCTTCTCAATGTGTTCGCCGATTTGTGAAAAATTGTCGAAATTGGGAAACAGCTTTAGTAATAGTTTTAAGTGTTTTTTGTCACCCTTATTACCAATGCCGTCAGCGATGACCTGATCGAAAAATGACCCAATTGGTTCTGAAAGATCTTATAACGAGCTATCTTTTGCTTTTGTCTGCGTCTTTCTTGCTTTTGTGTTTGCCGAGATAACCTAGTGTGACCAAATACCCCCCCCCCCCACACACACCTTTACGTAGTCGGCTGAGACACCACCCGGGCGCGGGTTGATTGAAATCCACCTATGTTTTCAAGTTTTTTGAACGTTAAGTTGAGCATGATGAGAAGTACAAGATGATAGCAATGAACCTGTTGCCCATTCCTGCTTAAAAAAAAAAACAAATTGATACCTAAGGAAATAAAAATACCAGAAACTAATGAATGAGCAGCAGGGTAATTGCTATCATCTTAATAATCCACCTACCTTGAATTAAAGTAAGTTAACTTGTTTTCAGGGGAGACCACGAGCCAGATGGCAAAGTTAATGGGAGCAGACACCCCCAGCGCTTTCAAAGAAGTCACTCCTTCAGTGCCCCACATCGCACCCGATGGCGATATCGCGGTGGACGCCGGACGGCATGGCTCTTGTGAAGCCTAAACAATCTAGAGCCGCTGGCGTGCCTTGTAATTGCATACTCGATACTACCAGTAAATCTCTGATTTGCTGGGAGTGGATGATATGTGAGCGTTCAACTAAAGACAAAATAGAACTAAAGAGAACTAAAGAGAAAAGTGAGAAAAGTGAAAAGTGACTCCTCGCCGTCCGCGCTGTCCGTGGCTCGACGACAGCCCGGAGCTGCAGCGCCTGCTACAGGAGAGAGACGAGGCCTACCGAGTGTGGCGGCACTCCGGCGCTGACAGCGACAGAAACAGCTACCGGCGACTCAGAAACCGAGTGAAATCGTGCCTGGCGGAATGTAAGCGTGCTTTTCTGTGTGACGGTATGCTGTCGGACCGCCGTGGTTTCTGGCGAAACGTGCGCGAGTTCGCCTTGCGTCCGGGGAGGGGCGGGGGTGGTAACTCCCGCGAGGGCCTGTCGCCGGCCCGGGCGGATGAGTTCAACCGGCACTTCGCGACAGTCGGTCCGCGTATTGCCGCTGAACTGGCACCCGGCAACCCCCCGCCACTCCCGCCGAGGCCGCCCTGTGTCACCACGGCCAGCATGTGTCTGCGGCCGGCGACACTCCCGGAGTTGTCTGTGGCCCTGCGGCAGTTGTCGTCCTCCCGTGCGGTGGGACATGACGGTGTACCACTGTTTGCTATTCGCCGGTGTTTTCCTGTGATTGGACCCCACATTCTCCATCTAGTCAATGCCTCATTTTCTTTACGTACGTTTCCCTCATCTTGGAAGCTTGCTTCTGTCGTGCCGCTTCATAAGTCTGGTTCCCGTGACAGCGCTGTTAATTTTAGACCTATATCAATTTTACCAGTGTTATCGAAAGTATGTGAAAAGGTGGTTTGCAATCAGCTTGCTTCTTATCTTGATACGTCCTCTATTTTATCACCATCTCAGTATGCGTACCGCCGATATCACTCAACGGAGGATGCTCTCACCGACGCTGTCGAGTGGGTGACGCGCCGCGTCGATAAGGGTCACATTGTTGCCATCACGTCGGTGGACCTCAGTCGCGCCTTTGATAGTGTTGACCATGGTATTTTATTGTCCAAGTTGAGCTGGTACGGTGTTGACCTCGGGTGGTTCGCGAGTTACCTCGGTGGCCGGCGGCAGGTGGTGAGAGGCGGCTCCCTATCCCTTCCTATGTCCCATGGCGTTCCGCAGGGCTCCCTGGTCGGCCCAATCCTCTTCAGCATCTTCACAAATGACCTACCTTCCTACCTTCCTCATGGACGGCTCATTTCCTATGCAGACGATACCCAACTCCTCGATTCCGCTCTTCCCACTGACTTACCTGTCCTTAAAAAACAACAGGAAGACACCTTGCTCGCTGTCCAGTCCTATTACACATCCAATTCCTTGAAAATGAATCCTAGTAAGACCACCCTGCTTCTTGTGGGTACTGGCCAGAATCTCAAGAAAACCTCATCCTTTTCCCTTACCATATCCGGTCACACACTACAACCATCCCCTTTTGTGAGGATGCTGGGAGTGACGGTCGACTCAACCCTATCCTGGGAAAAGCACATTTCAAATGTTGTCAAAAAGTGCAATTCCATCCTTCTATGTTTGTATAAAATTCGTCATCATCTTACCCCCGAGACCCGTAAGCTCCTTATCCAGTGCCATGTTTTCCCCCACATCCTTTACTGCCTCTCCGTCTGGGGCGGGGCCGCTCGCTGTCATTTACATAAGGTGCAGAAGATCCTGAATTTTGGTGCTAGGGTCGTCTCCGGAGCGCGGGTTTCTGAACATATTTCACCGGTGTTGAGAGCCCTCGGCTGGCATGACATTGCTGATCTTGTCGTCCACCGTGACTGCTCCACTGTGTTCAGGGCGCTGAGTGACCCTTGCGCTCCGGAGGCGATCCGCTCCCTATTCACTCGGCGAGCCGCTGTGTCGCAGCGCTCAACGCGGGCAACGTGTGCCGGTGTACTGGAGCTGCCGGCTTACCGGCTGTCTATGTCGCGCAGGGCCTTGTCGTACCGAGCGGCCTCGTCCTGGAATCGCCTGCCGCCTGCCACCACCGGCTCTCGAACTAGAGCGGAGTTTTTACGACTTTTAAACTCGACATATATGTGACTAGCGTTTTGGTATTTTAGTACAATGTGTATGCGTGTGTGTGCTTGTGTTTTATATGTTTTTACTATTGTCATTGACTAGAAGCTGACACTAATCCATCATTGGAATGCTTCGCTAATACAATATACAATATGTACAATACAAAAAAGACCTGGCACTCAGGGCAGCAAACTGCCGCCCTGCAGCACTGAGGCAGTGGCATTTTTTGGTGTCGGCTCCGCCGAGCCTCGGGACGCGTGTGAAGTCGTAGACGCTCTGGCGCCGACTGCCGAGCCCCTCCCCCCCCCCCCCTCTGACGCCACCGTTCGGCGATGCCCAAGACCGCGGTGCGGGGAGAATATGAGCGACGCAAATCGTATTGTGGGATGCAGCGGGGTGCTTGCTACGTAGTTGGAGTGTTGGAGTTGGTAGCGTTTGATTCGTCTTCCACGCATAAGTGACTTGGTCGCTTTTGTCATTGGTTTGTTTGTCTAGATCCATTGGCTATCGTTTGTGTTACAAGCAATCATAGTCCGTTTTATTTTAAGTCAGACCCTTACTGTAAACGTCTCAGTTTGAGCACAGCACGAAACTTGTTCGGTGAATTACTTGGAAAACTGGGTTGCGTACATTGTATACCACGGATGATCAACTTAATCGAAATTGTTTTTAGATCACTCCCATTTCCCCTACTCGCATTTCGTATTCGGTCATATTTTCAACCCCAGGCGATACTTGACTCGCCGGAAATTAGAACTGAACTCAGCAATAAAGTGCACGGCCTTTATCATTACGGTACTTCATCGAAGTTAAAAGCATATTTGGAAAATATTATATCCTCAGTAAAGTGTGCGCTATCCAGTTTTCCCAGTCCTTCTCTCAGAAAATCTCGTGCTGTGTTCAATAACAGGTCGAGCTGAAATAAAACGGACTATGCAAGTTCGCCCATCGTGTCCCTCGCACGACCAGGCCATTTCTCATAACACGAACGACCAGGGGGGGGGGGGTTGTTACGACCCCCCCCCTGGCGTTTCGAAACGGAAGGTCGTAGAGCTTAGCGGAAAAAAACCACCGGATTGCTCTCAACGAGATCTCGCGATTGGTGGTATATTTTTTGGTCCTAGGTCAACATTTGACCTACTTTTGACCGGTCAAAGGTCAAATTTTCGGAAAAATAGACTTTTTTTCAACTTTCGGCGGCGATTGCGGCAAAACGGTGGGAGATATCGACTTGAAACCTTCACTATCGTGTTCCTTGATCAATTCTCTATCGTTTGGTATGTATTTCGTTTCCCTAGCTCTAAAAATGGCGCGTTGGGAGCGCCGGAAGTCGGCAAGGTCACAGTCGGCGGCAGAAATTCGAAAAATCAAAATTTAAATTTTTGAAATCTGATTGTATTTTTGGATTTGGGAGGTCCATTTGCTCCCTATAGAAGCTAATATTGCTGCATATTCCCATTGAGGTGACAAGAATTAGCAAAATAGTGGTTCGGGCGCTTTTCAAAAATAGTACCGGACGCTGTTCCTCTTGTGACGTCATAGCTCCGTGACCTGACCTGACCCGGTCAAATTTCTTATGCCATATGATAGCCAATACTTGCCCCAACATGCATGGGAAGTTTCATCACGATCCATCAACCGATGTCCGTACCACCGGCAGGAAACCTCGGGCGTTGGCACTCAGTTTGTGAAAATCCGGCCGGAGGCTGTACCTCTTATGACGTCATAACTCCGTGACCTGACATGACCCGATCAATTTTTTTTCGGCAAAAGATGCGCAAAGGTTGCCCCAGAGGGTATTGAAAATTTCAGCCCGCTACGACAAGCCGTTTAGCGTGCACTTCGAAAAAACCTCAGGGGGGGGTTGATACAACCCCCCCCCCCCTAGGCGTTCTAGGGTTAATGCGTGTACGAGAATGGCCTTGTCGGCGGGTCGATGGGCTCCATGTAGGGGCCAGAGTTAGTATCTTGAAGTTGAACGCTTTGGAGCCTTTCATCGTCTTTCAGCGTATAGCTCATGATGTGCGCATGTTATTTCGTGTCGGTCATCGGTGCGAAAAGCGTTATAGTACTAATAAAAAACACGAACATCTATTTCTGCGTTTTATGTCTATTTGTTCATTCATATTTTCATAGGCGGTCTTTTTAGAAATTTCAGCCTTTTCAGGATTTTATTCAGCCTTGTCGCCTCCTCGCGTGGCCCAGCTGCAGCCCTATATATACTGCGGCTACCGCAGCTGCCGCATCTCCAAATGGCTACGGCCGCCCACCCGGGTCAGGTGGTTTATCTGCTAAAGGAGTGCTAAAGGGGTGCTATTGCATGGTTTTATTGGGGTGCTATTGCCCTGCTATTCGTGTGCTATTTGGGTACTACCAAAGAATAGCACCCGAATAGTAGCAGGTTTAGTACTGTAAAGGTGCTGGTTTTTGGCACCGACCCATAGGGGAGTAGCCTGGATACTAAGTAGCACCCATAGGGTGCTTAAAATTAGAACCTTACTAGCATGCTGGTAGCATCTTTACCCTACTAAATGAATGCTAGCAAACTAGCACCTTTAAAGTGCTAGGTTGTTAGTAGCCGTTTAGCACCCTCTTAGAACCTCAAATTAGCAGCTTGTAGGTGCTTGTTTTTGGCACGAGATTTAGCACCTCAGGCATGCTAATCTTTTTTTTTACAGTGTATCCACCGGCAGGTACTGGTCCATCTGATACAGCTGGGAGCTGATGATCCCATCGGGATCTGCTGATCCACTAGCTGCTCGCGCTGGTGCGATCAATCGTGCTGAGGTTATGTTTGTTTAGGCACCCCTCAGCTGCAGCTGCTGATCCAACCAGCAGCTGCCGATCCGATGACC